AAATGTGGAGCGCGCTTTTCAAATACATTTTGACGACTGCTGTTATGTGTGCCAGCCAAAGCTTAAGCTCAGCAGAGAAAGACTAAATAAGGGACGCCGGGGGAAAAAAACAGGCTGTCTTTTGTCTGCTATCGACGACGAGGAGCGAGGTGCGCAACGATGCGGTTGCTGTGGATAAAAAAAGACCAGGCTATGTTCCGTGTCCACATTTGTAGAAAAACTACTCCGCTGATTAAACACGGGAGATAGGTGTTATTACAAGACCGGCCAATCGCCCCCTTTGGCGGATCGATCGGGAAACCAGATCGATCATTTGGCCATTATTAAGGTTACCTAAGAAGACGGTGCTCGACCGACGCCACGGCGAGCTGACCACAGTCCGAGTGGTCGCTGCGACACGGCGCTGCGCGCAAGAAAAAAGGCGACAATACAACACGGCGAAAATCAACAGGAAGTGTCGAGAAAAGCTCCCCGCTTACCTTACAAACACGACCCGAGCTCTCCTGTCAAAGATATGATGAAGTCATGAACTAATGGCGTGGTGATTGTAGCGTATATGGACGGCAGAGCAGCCGATTCCTCCTCCACCTCTCCGTCCCGGAGGGTCTGCAAACACTCTGCACGGAATTTGGGGGCGTCGCTCAAAATGCGAAGTGGACTCTGCAGTCGAGGCTCTGGTCAGAGCGACCCCGTGAAACGTCCACAGAAGCAGATCAGCACACACCGTTAGCTGGCAGCGGGAATACTAAGGCGAATCAAGGCCACCGGTCACACGCAGTCAACAGCACAACTGAGACACATGTAAAAAATTATGTAAACACCGGGCACACTTATAATTTACGCTCGTTATGTTTTCTCTACTAGAAATTCTTGTTAGGCTCTTACATATATATATATATCTATATATAATTATGCCTTATTCAGGCCTGTGGAAACTAGTCAAAAGCCCAGTTTATTAATTATTCCTGTTTGTCCTTTTATAAATCTTTAAATGTATTCAATCAAACTTTGCTATATTAAATGTTCAGTAAAGTAGCTGAAAACTCTTAAGCGTTTACTGTTTGTGCAGTCCAGGCTTCGCCTACTTATTTTAACATAAAAAAATGCTCTTATTTAAAAAAAAAACAAGACAAAAAAATCCAACCAAAACAACTCTTCCCCTTAAAATGGATTTAAATACAGATTTACTGTTTATTTTTTTCCCGTCTGAACTGGTGTTTTATCCACACCGGAAGCCAGCGCCGTGACCTTTCATACATAAAAGCACACTGGGTTGTGGTGTCACACACGGTGGATGTAAATAAATATCAAAACAAACAGCTACAAAATAAAATGATATTTTTACAGGTCACTCGGAAAACAGGAAGAGCCCTGTGAGCTAAATTAGCCTGTTTAACATAAATAGCCTTTATGCTAATGTCCGTCTGCTTTGAAGCACGTGAGCTCGCTGTCTGTTAAAGGTGACTCCTCACGCGGGGACGGCGGAGTCCACTCCACCTCTTCTGAGAGTCCTCCGTTGCATCTGGCACGCAGCCAGATACCTCGTGCGTGCGTGTCTATGTGTGTGTGCGAGCGCGCGCACGTGTCACTATGGGAGCAGGGGCCCACCGTGTTCGCGTACACTGCTGTCTGTCTGGCCTGGGCGATCCGTGTAAACACAGCGTCTTCTAGCGGTCACCGCAAATACTGCTCCGTCTTAAAATGGCCACTGGTGTCGGTGGACACTGCAGCACGGGAGCCCCCCTCACTTCCGTCTCTCCCACACAAATCACAGCCCCGATCCCACCGCAGTCACACACACGCACACAGAGCTGTTTACTCATTACCCCCGTCCTGCGTTAATCCATCAGCACAGCGCTGTGACACGCGTTCCGATCCTGTGGTGGAAAAAGGCGAACGAAATGAATAAATGAAGCTTTCAAATTGGGTCACTCAAGTTTTATTCACAATGTACAGAACAATGAATCAAACCAGACACCCCGCAGCCAGTAGAAAAATCAACCTGCTGAAACGGCAGAATATATTCTTAATGGGCACAAGCTGCTGAACACTTCACAGATTCAACACAAGTTTTCCCAGAAAGCCACAGGAACTGGTTACAAGAAGACAGTTTCAACAGTTCATTAACAACAAACTAAACTTCTACCTCCTCTGACTAAAGCAGCAAAACAAACAAAACAATGTATGTTAACATTCATGTAGGGTTGTGTGAGCGTTTGGATTCTGGTTTAGATTTAAATTTAAGGCCTACGCTTCAGTTCACCGAGACGCTGGACTGACTGAAGGTCTCGTCTTTCAGCCACCTGCCCCACAGCCAGAGGAGGCGGCTGAAAGGACACCAAACATGAAGGCACAATGCCCACACGGGGAAATATTTCACCTTTATCAGCCCCAGTGAGAACTTTAAACAAACGGCACATTAAGTAGGTCATACTGCGAGCTGCAGTCATAGTGCCACCATATCTAACTGTTATCTGTCCTCAAATGACCTTTGATTTCAAAGTCACACTAAGCAGTGTCAGAGCAGTGTGGCCAGTTTGATATTAAAACTATGTTTTTCTGTTACGGGCAAACGACAATGCTCAGAGTTTGGACTGAACATATCAGCGTCATACTGTAATCATCAATCAGTGTGACACGGCAATGAGAATGACAGATGATCGGGCCGGGCGTGCAAGGAATCAGGGAGGGCCGAGTTCTCCGGTGGCTCAGATTACGCGTCCTTCTTTTTGATGATGAGCGGTCCAACGTTGTCCCCGGTTTCCTCGTTGTGTTTAGTGTGGGAACCATCGCAGTAAGGGAACTGCAGGGAAGAGGAGAAACGACAACAGAATTCACTCTTATCAGTCATACGAAGAGAGTCTGTTAGCCACATACGAGTTCATGCTAACAGCAGTTTGAAACCGACTAAGCATGGAGGGCTGTCAGAGGGTAACTTTCAGCGCAGGTCAGGGATGTTAAAGATGGTCACATCCCATTACCAACTGGGATGTGATCAGCACAATATGTGTCAAACCGTGACCTGTGACTGCAGAAAGCTAAGCAGTTTTGGACCTCTGATAAGATTACCTGCAAGCTTATAAAGCTCAATGACTGTTACTTGAAGTTTAAGCTAAAGGACATTTATCGCTGCCTGAGGACCAACCTTCTTTGACTTCCAGCAGCGGCAGTACACGGCCTTGGTGGCGATGTCCTCCATGTCAAAGCTGTGGACCACTTTAGGGCTGTCTTTGTTGATGCAGGTGTTCACTTGGCCCTTTTTGCAGCTCCGCCTGTTCAGGTACTGGCTGACGAGGAAGCCTCCGACAGCTGCAACCACCGCCACCGGCACGGCAACCAAAAAATGCTCTGAAAAAAGACAAATATAATAAGGACTTTTATGTAATGTCTTAAACAAGTGATCATAACTGTCATTTGAGGCAACATCATTTTAGTCATTTCAGCCTGTCGGACCTAGTGGCATTAACAGTTTCTCGGTTCTGAAAGGGTTTATGCTAGAGTAGTTTAGGCCTATTCTTAGAAAACCAACAAGCAGGTATGTGGCGGTGTTTTCCAAGGCCAGGAGTGGCGAAAATTTTCCAAGCCATGGAGGATTATATGCCGAGTACTGAGAATCACATGTTTCAGAACAGGAATGTGGGCCCTGCTGTCAGACCTGATCAGCAACTTCTGTGAACTTCTGCTTGGCTAGAGCGGCGGGAAGCCGGGCATACGGAGATAGCGTTTAGCTGTGGCCCACGCTGAGTGAAGTCTAAAGTTGGAAAAATTAACCCGTGTCCAACTGGGTTCGGTGACCGGTTAGCCAGCTAACGGCGCCATGCCAGAAGAAGGGGAAAAGTTTACAATGCAACTACAAAGTCTATATAAAAATATTTGAGTCTTTACGTTACTATTAAACGCGGTAGCCTCAATACAACCACACAGTATCCTACAGTTTTTTCTACAACACTGTCGCAGACCCGCTAACGGCTAACAAACCACTCATACAAGGCTAGCATGCTATTAGCCAGCTTTAATACTTTACCTTTAGTTAACCTGAAACCCGAGCTGGGTAAGTCGGGTATCGGAGGCATTGGCATTGCAGGTAAATGGGTGGCTGACATGTTGGGAGTTTTTTTTTTTCCCTCCTTGGACGGTGTACTGTATGTGATCAGCGCTCAGCAGCAAGGTCAACCACAGAGCTTATCAAAACTCTATCCACTCTGACAGCGCACCGAACCTGCTGCGTCACTGCCCACCAACCAATCAAAACCGAGGAAGAACGAAGCTCGACAAGGGTGAGAGCGTAACCCCCATACCATTTCCGGCTTCGCTTTAGCGCTCTTTGAAGTTGGAATTGCCGTGATGAGTAAATCGTTCCAGAAATGAAATAAATAAATATTACGTTTTATTTTAAGTGTATTTGTTAAAACTCTTCACTATCGGGTCCATAGCCAAAAGATAAATAAAATTCCACTGCCTGGCAAATTTTCCTAACGGCGGATAATTATCTTGACCACTGCGAGCTTTGGTGAGTCCCATTTCCTTTACAGGTCACTGACTTAAAAAAAAAAAGAAAAAAGGAGGGGGGGGGGTTGAACATAACACCTTTGACTCAAAATAAACCCCATTTATAGATTTACAATGCTTAAATATATAAATTATAAAGTTTTACCAGTCAAAGCTTTTAATTTAGCTGTGACAGAGCTGGAAGGTCTCCCAACTTTTAACTACTTTACATACCACCAGAGGGCGACAAATGACCTTTTCTAAAGGCTTGACTGGACTCTACAAGCGCCCAAGAATTATGTAATTTCAAAAGCTTTCAAGTCTTGTATTTTTGTTATGCTCCCCAGTATTCACAGAATTCTGTGGAATAGAGGTAACCATAAAAGAATGAGGTAATTGCTCATCTTATTTATCCTGTTAGATTTCTGCAGAACTTCCTCTTAACTGCATTCAGATGTTGCCAACCTGCCTCTGTATGCCTTCTTCAAAAAGAGGCTGAGTATGAGTCAACACAGGAGTCGAGGGTTTTTATTACACAGTTTAATCAACACACAAAGCTCAACGAGCCTCTCAGGTAATTCAATATACAGAGGTTTTGTGCAAGAAGAGTGGGTTCTCCTCGCACCCAGAGCCCAAGCCAGTCCCATAGCCATTTAAGATGTTAGCCTCTAATTTAACAATAGCAAAAAAAAACAAAAAAACAAAAAAAGAAACATAAAAGCAAACTAAAGAATTATGGGGTGGGAAATAAAAACACAGGTTAAACTAAGAAAAAAAAATGAATTGCTTAAATACCTGGTCCAGAACCTCCACTTTTTGTGAATAAAGAAACTGTGGTGGTGAGGGTGACATGGGGGTTACAGTTGTGTGTGCGTGTGTGTGCGTGTGTGTGCGTGTGTGTGTGTGTGTACAAAGGGGTCAACTTGGGTGAAGGAAGATTGGGGGAGGGAGGAATGAGGAGCAGGAGGTGTGGGGATAAATTCAAGTCCTTTCATAGAATCCAACAGAAGACCAAAAATAGGCTGCGTTTAATTTTTTTCCATGTTACATAGCCTTGTATAAAACACAGAGTGCCCTTTGACTACTTCCTTGAAATGTCACCCCTACAGATGGAAATCATTAGGACAACAAAAACAAGAAAGGGTGCAGAGTGTAAAAATCCCTCCATCTTACTGTCCCCTCCCCCTCAAAAATAAAATTAAACTGGAAGATAATGGGGGAAGAAAAAGGTCCCCTCAAAGCTTGACTGGTGCTTAAAGGAATGCTTTTAGTGATGGTGGGTGAGAATGCGGGCGTGCAGGGAATAAACAGGGGAGGGTGGAGGATCGGTGACAGCCCAACCTGCTTGGTGACAAATGGAATACAGAAGTCAGGAGATGGAGGAGGAGTTGGTAGGTGGTGAAAAAGGGGAGATGGGCTTTACCATTGCAAGTTGACAATATGTACACTAGAGGAGGGGTGGGTGAGCTGAGGGGCGGAGGGAGGGAAGGGGTAAAGATAGAGCAAATAGAGGGAGAGAGAGAGAAGGTGGGGCAGAGGGAGTTTTACAGGTACTCTGGTGAAGGGGAGGCGTGGCTCAAAGAAAGCACTCCAATGGAAACCAACAAGATCTTGTTTAAACTTTTCATTTGTTTGTATGGTTTTTTTGTTTGTTTTCTCTTTACGTCTGAAGCTCCCCTAGCCTTTACGTCGTAGAGGTGGTTGGCCATGTTTCTACCCCCAACACTACATTGCATACTTTTGTGTCCATTCCCGAGCTATTTTGTTGTACCTGTGAACAAGAAAGAAAAAAAAAAAGACAAAGAGAGGAGAGTGGTCAGTTTTAACTTAGTGAAGGATCAACATGTTGAACACTTGTAGTCAATCTGCACCACTGCCTTTACTCTGACTGGTCCCATCAACGTGTCTGAAACGGGGAGCCCGAATTAGAGCAGATGCTCCCCGAAGTCTGAATCGCAACGAGTGTGGCCGCATCACGTTTCTGTTGCGACGTCACCGTGACTGTTCAAAACTTGCTTGCACTTTCAACAATTTAATTGGCCATCCACTGCCTGTCACTAAACCTGCACAGCAATGAGGTTTTTGTCAGAGTGCATCAAGCTGGGGAGAAGCCGAAGAGGAGGGCAGAAATTTCATGAGCGAATGGCACAGAGCAGACACATCGTCCTCATTTTACATCGTAGGCTCAGACGAGTGCCATTCTCCTTTCTGTCACGAGAAAGATGTTTAGCTTCATATGAAATCCCTCAGATACTTTAATATAAGACAAAGGAATTTTCAATGGAACGTATCTGTTTTTCTACACGATAAGAGAAACGTGCTGTATATAAAACACACCTGTCAGCACGACTCTGGCCTGAAAGAGTAAGAAATAAATGTGTAAAGTTACTGAAAGAGTTGTGACTTAATTTGTTCATTCACATAAAATGTAATGTTTTTATTTACTGTGGACCCATTGTAAGATTTTATTATTTTTTATAGTAGATATTAAAAAAAAAAAAGGACCTTTTCTGCCATTTAGTCATTTATCTACTACTTAATTACTTTGATGTAGCACAAATGACCATGGGGAGCTCTTTGGGTCTTTATAAAAGTTCCAAGTTATGAAAATAGAGTTAAAATCCAAAATATATGCAATATTTCATACTTTCCAGAGCCAGTGGGCCAAATTGGGAGTCTTTGTTGAGCCAATTCTGGCTCTCCGGCCTTATCGATCAATCGTTAATTTCACAGGTAGCAAATTCTGATCGTCTCAACGGGGTGACAACTCCAGAAAGGTGGCATGTCTGTGCCCCAATGTTTGCATTCACTCACCCTCACGCATGACTAATCAAAAAGCTCAAGTTTCACACGCTCTAACATTAAACAGCCTTCTTGACCATAGCCTGTATATAAAAGTTGGACATGGCCACAGAGGATATTCGCCCATTATGAAGCCCTGAGTTAGGTTTGCTGTTGCTGTCTGGGTGTTTCGAAACCAAATGTGGGGAGTGAGTGACACATCTGAACCTCACTGTTAACTGTGCGGCTATTTTAAAGACTCGTGGTGACAGTTTCAATTTTTTCTGTTATGTCACACACTGTTAGCAACAGTGTTACTAGCAACAATCTGAAAAGGCACATGAAAGCAAACTATTCATGCAAACAACTCACTTTTCCCTGTCAGTCTTGTAGATGCGGGCGATCTCGGGTACTAATGGGTCGTCCGGGTTTGGGTCGCACAGCAGAGAGCAGATGGACAGGAGAACTGGAACAGACCACACAAAAGGTTAAGAGTTCTCACACAGAAAAACTGACATTTTCAGAGTTTGGATACATTTTCCTTTGGATGACCCTCACATGCTAGCATGTCCCATTTATTCCACTTCTGATCATAAACATAATTGGTCTACAAAAACACTCACACTGCATGAGGGACGCTATTTGTGTAAACCACTGTATTAGCTCAAGGACCATCTCTGACATTCACTGAGATAGTGCTGCGCCAGTTTAAATCAAGGACCTCTGCCACAGGAATGCATTTGGAGGTAGCGCTTTCACGAGAGAAAAAAAGAAAAAGAAAACGGGGCGTTTCTCTTTTACTCTGCAGCCAGAAACATCTCCTTACCTTTGGAGATGGTGAGAGCCGGAGACCACTGTGATCGCAGGATGTCAAGACAGATGCTGCCGTTGCTGTTGATATTTGGGTGGTAGATTCTTGTGGTAAATGCAACCTGAAAACAGATGAATGGGGGGAGCCAAGAAAGAGGGGGAGACGGCAGAAAGCTGAACGACGTAAAGCTGTGGCACGCTTTAACGGGCAAGAGGAACTTAGGCACCCTCTGTTTATGAAAAGCTACTTCTTTGCATGCTCTGGTGCTCACCTTTGGCGGTTTGAAGGGGTAGTCTGTGGGGAAGTGTATGGTCAAGAAGAAAACCCCGCTCTGGTAAGGACTGTCATTCTGAAGGAGAGAGAAGCCCAATGGGCTTCATTACAATTATGGTATAGAAGGAAACAGGCAGGTAGAAAACTTATAGTGAGAACAATTCAGAGTCGTGCGCATGTACGTGAATTTCCCATAAACCTAAAGCAACGTTTAAAGCTGTGACTGTGTGAGTACTTACGGGTCCCATTATTGTGGCTTGCCAGTGAAACACTGAAACAAAAAAGGAGAAATTTGTTATGAAACTGAGGACATGATGTGTGTCTGGGAAGTGTTAGAATAAATAATGCCACATGAAGCGTGCCTGTTTATTTATACAGTTGAGTAACAGGCTTTAAATAAAGTGCAGCTGAGGACAGTCTTTTCTTAATTAGAAATGACTACATATACACTTGCAGCACATGAATAACACTAACCTGCTGCTTCAGAGGAAATTAATAAACAAGAAGTGATTTTTTTAAAGAGCTTGGATAACCACCAAAACAAACCACTGTAATCTGACTGTGATCTTTTAAACCTGTCCAATTCAAGCATCCTGTCTGAGGAGAAATGTCACATTTGTGAAGAAAGCCACAATAACTGCATTTCACAAGAGACACCGTCTTGGTTTTTTTGATGTTGATGGCAGGAAGCGATGTCTACAGCAAACAAATAAAAAGTTCTGCTACCGATTTTCCCCCCGCACAAGTACAAAAGTTAGACGCTATCGTGCACAAACATAGACTGCACACCAAAATCCCAGGATGCAGTGCTTACGGGATCCACACTATGATTGTGTCATTAAAATGTCAGACTTTAAAACAAAGGAAAAACTCCTCAGACGGTTGTTGTGATCTTGACAGCATGCAGACACATATGGACGTGTCCTGCGCGTGCGGTCCTAAGATAAAAATCAAATGTTTTTGTTTTGACTGGAACCTAAATGCAACATCCCCCCTCACACACGCACACACACACACACAAAGGATATTAACACATTCATGGGTTAGTCTGAGTTTCAACACAACATATTCATATTTCATTTAATAATCTTAGAGGAATCTTGCACATAAGTTTTGTTGTTTTAAAGAATAGTTTCAATAAATAATTTAGGAACAGATATCAATATGCAAAAATCAGTCTGAAGACATGAAAACAGACTAAAGAAACAAAGCATGTAGATTGTTTCCTAAAAACAATACAATATATTAGAGCAGCTGCACTGTACACCCTGTGACGATTCTGGTTATGTATGCAGACGTCACAAACCTCAAACATGAGACAACAGCGTGGGTGTCGGTCTCTTGTTGAACCCAGGTGTTGCACTCAGGATGTGTCGGGCAGGCAGCCGCCGCATTACTACTCCTGGCTAAGTTTGCGTCATATTTAAATCAGCGTGCATACACTTAATATAGTCACTCTGTCTATTTTTTTTTAAACATCCTAAATACAATCTGTCTGTGTTTATTCATGCTACTTGTTCTAAACATACCCATCTAGGGCAATTATTATTACTCCCACACTATCATTCATAAAAGACATGATTATAAAGGATTACAGCTATATGTAAAAACACTGCTGTATTACCAAGACAGAATAAGAGCAATCGTTAAATGGACTTAAATATCAAGGCACATCATCAGAGCGATTAACTGAATGTATCTGTTTGTGTATATAGCACGGGACAGCGTCAGATCTACCACAATACAAGATCTTAATGTATCAAAATATTTCTTAAAAGCAACTAACTAAACTGGACGGTGGTCATTAAAAACTACAGTTTGGATTTTGACGTTACAGCAGGGTCAAGACCAAGTTGATGAGATCGAGCCAAAGTGAAAATTCCAAAATTTTGCAGGCATTTAAGTGTCTGGATTTACTGACACTTAAACCTCAGGTCACAAGATTGTGGACACTGTGGTTTAGGACTGAGTGACTTATTGATCAAACCAGAAACGCATCAAAGAGAAAGTGTTAAACTGCTCACTAAACATTTTCCTTCAGTACAAAAAAAATCCCCATATCATCAAAGTTTTTCAATATTCTGAACTTTTTTTTTTAACTCTGCACACAAATTTTAGCATTAGGACCAAATTTTGTTTAATTAACCTGCAATAATAGAAGCACCTTGGGAGTTTTACATACAACATTTAAAGTACTGGTTACAAGGAAACATTGACAAACATACTACAGGGCTAAGTTCAGTTCAGTTAATGCCTTCTGCATTTCATTATTGGTTCAGTCTATGAGATTAAAAAAAGAAATCTGAACTCTGATTTACTCCCAACATTACAAAAGAAAAAATACCCTTGCTGTGAAAGTAAAAGTAAAACCTACATGAAGCAATACAGTGGGTTATGCTTTTATAATTACCCAGAAATCTTCACAATAGGAGCTGCAGGTATTTCCTGGATGTGAGCTCTAAGAATAACCCTCAAGCAGAAACGAACACTAATTTAATCTATTTTATAGATGTTGGTCTTCATGGATCTGTCATTGATTCCTATGTCATGTGCGAGTATAATTTGATGATTGAAAAATGATTTGGTCACATAAGATTATGAATAAGTTCAAATAAAAAGCGGGAAAGGGTTTTGAATCCTGCTTACACACAGCTAACGTGACACTGTGGGTTTAAATGTTGACTTACTGTCATCTCCTACTGGTCCTGCAGAACACTGGGCTGGTGGGTCCCGTGCCAAGTCGTTCAACTCCTGAGACAAACCAAAGAGATGTGAGTTGTTTGGGTCCGGCCATACAGCGAAGCATTAAATAGACCATAAAAACTAAGAACAGATAAGAGGGCTAAAAACACCAGCATCTGCATACAGGATAGCATTCACTGATGAAAGTGTCCTGTTTATCTTTTGTGTCACATCAGTATTGTGCCAGATAAGAGTCCAGACAGTGTGTTTAAGAGGTGAATGACATTTATTTCTTTGTAATTAAGTAGGGCCAAATGAAGAAAAAAATAAGAATAACATAAAGTAATTGATTTTAATATTTTCCATTTTGAAAATAAATTTAAAATGTTAAAGATTGAAATCAACTCCCTGAGTTCATCAAAGGGTGTTAGGAAAGTGTGGAAGGTTTAAGGTGAACCTGCCAAACTGCATCTCAACCTTTTAGCTACAATGTATAGAACAGAGCACTTTGCTGTTTTCTTCTTCTTCTTCTCTGTGTGAGGTCCAAGCAGTCTATATATTAACAGAGAAAATGTCCTCATTTCTAAAACACGATTATCAGTGTATTTTGACTTGTCTCAGAAATTCAACTTAATCGTTAAGAATATATCCTTCTAATATACACATTTTTAAAGTTCCCTTCAACAATCCTCCGAATAAACTGAAAGAAGAAATGATAAAAAACAAAAAACAAAGAAGGAGCAAGCAGAAATATCAGCTTTAGCCAGGTTGTTTTACAAACACCAATATCGGGCTATTAATTAAACAATCAGCGCAACCCCAATCTAAAGAACAGAGAGAAAAAGGAAATGCAACATAAAAATAACCACACAAGAATTTCCTCTGTTTAAGCATGTGTTTGGGGTGGGCACAAAAAAAAGAGCTTCAATAATCTTATAGAGGCTGTTCTACTTACTACTTCCTCTGCTCACCAGGAGCTCTGTCTTGTTTTCAGACAGCTCCTGAGGCCGGTGCCACAGCCATAAAGGCTCCCTGCTACAGTAACTCTCAAAGCATTTCCCGGTGACACAACAACACTACTATAGCACCCCGAGCCTTTGCTTATGGCACTGACCGCTATTACGTAACAGCTTTTCTCCAGGTAGAGCGGCTAACACACGTACACCCAAACCGAGATCACGATAATTTGACAACAAAGCTTTTACTATAGCCCACACAGCCGTGTAAACTGGTTAGCTCGCAGTAAACGGTATGCTGGTAACGTTAGCTTAGCGTAAACGCTAACCTCTCCGGCTCGACAGCAGCACAGGATGTCATGTAAGAGAAACATGAAGCGAGCTGCCTGGCCAAATTATGACATGCCTTTATGCTACGTGGGGAATTAATTGCAACAGGACCAAACAACGCGGAGCTAACTCAATCAGACGAGCGGCACAATAACGATTATAGGGCTCGCCTGCTATCAGCAACATGCCATCAAAGGCGAACAACGCGTGGGGCCTGTTTTTACAACACCGACTCGCTGCTAACATTAACAAGAATTTCCTTATGTACTGCTTCTCCCGTTGAGCCATAAGCATGTTCAATGCAAACAATAACATGGCTGCTTTGACATGACTACTGCGAAAACCTGCAGGTTATGAATTAAGATGACAATATACAGTTAACGAAAAAAAACGGGGAGGAGGTACATGCTCGCTTCCGATATAGCGATCATTATGTTTGAACTTTTACTGTTCCTCTAACAACAGCAAATGATCGAATATTTAAATGGCTAGCGACAAAGAAGCCGTCCGTCCTTTAATTAAATAAGCTCTGGACTCCTGAGCTAGCCGTTACCGCTAGCCGGATAACTTCAGTTATCTGTCAAATCAAATAGCGGGTTAAGTAAACGAAAGCCGCCGTGTTGAATAATGTTAGCTACGTAGGCTGCCGTTTATATCGACTAATGAAGACATATCTGATGGCATATCGTGAAAACTGCCGGTAGTTTACTATAAAGATAGAAATGCAGTGAGCTAGCCTGCATCCAAACTAGCCAACAACCGGGAGAGATAATGTTAGCCAGCAGCAGCTAACACACCACTAATACCATTAACTAGTGACAACCATGGCAAGCTAAACATCTTTTTATACGCGGTATCGAATACATTCTTAATGAACCGAAACAGATTGTGAAGCTATGTGACACAACCAAGAACGGCTAACACAGCCAATGGTGGAGTTGGCCCATTTGTAGCAGCACTGAAAGGCGGCGCATTGCTGCTCTCAGTGTCGCCGCTCGCTATTCAGACTCACAGACCGTTAGCTGCCAGCTCAAACCTAACTTGAATAAATAGATCCGTTTTTCAAATTATTGTCAGTACAACTAATCTGCCGGACAAGCATCCGCTAGACAACCTTGGAATTAGATCTATAACCAAACTGCGAAATCCTGGGCCTCGCCGTTCACTTCCTTACCTTGTGAATTCTTTTCAGAGCCATTGTTGTGCTAGCGCTTCTGACAGGGAAAACGTGCGATTAAAATGGCGATTGATATCACTGTCCGTTAGTAATACTACGATTTAGCTGTCATATAAGATCGTTACTCTACATATAATTAACTGGTTGTTACCAGAAAGAACCACCAAGCAAATTTTGAGGCGAAACTGAAAGATAGAAGCGGTAGAACCGCGGTCCTTCCTCCTACTGCAGCGGCTACCAAATCACTGCGGCCTGTGTTCTGCTAGCAGCAAAGACGGCAACACTTCCGAATTCCGTTTTTCACAATTAAACCACGACCATCTAAAGGTGACACAACTACCTTGCTCTCCTCCATCCTCATATAACACAAAAGTAAATCCGCTTTTTCACTGTTACATGTTTACAGTCTCATAGGAAACGCCTTTAAATTAATATTCTGACAGGCTTTTCTGTGCAATGTCCCCAAAGAAGCATCCTTTTCCTAGGATGGAAGTAAACCTTTACTTTATTCATGCATAGAATTATTTGGGCTGCAAACATGATTACTATACTTCCATACAACAATTTGCAGTGATATTATCAGTAAAAAGATGACACATCTGAAAAGTTGGACCATGGAATACTTGGCACTTCCGTAAACCTCTCTAAAAAAACGTGAAGACAAGTCTGTGTGTGTTTGTGTGTGTGTGTGTGTTCTTTGATTTTCTCAACAACAATTCATGCCCTGTTTGGATGTGTCGGAAAACATCCACTGCAACAGCACCATCCATGTAAAGCTTGCCGCAGCTGTTCAAGGCATAGATTCAAGAATGAGCACACTTGCAGTTGAACAGTCAAAACAAATATGTTTTTTAATGCTATATTTTATTAGGTTAAAAAAAAGTCATTGGTGGAAAAAAATGTTTAAGAGAATTCATTAGAACTTTTCTCAACCTTTGAAGAATTTTCCCAGTTTAAACAGTATTTATTTCCAGTTTATTTCGCTAAGAAAGATTAAGAAAAGAAAAACTGGCCGCCACACAGTCTTAGAGAACTGTCCAGCTGCAGTGAGATTCAATATCCCAAGCTCAGGACAGGAGATTTCATTTTATCCTGAATTAAGAAAAAAACCTAAACAATTTTATAAAATGTTGTGGAGGGTCGCCTTTGAGAGCAGGAGTATTTAAACAGTAATCCAATATCTGTTAACACCGCAAATTATAAGTCTTTTCACACAGGTACAACTATTTTACATCAACAAAAGCAACCTGGCTGGTTTACCAAGCTCAAGACTTCAAAAGCTGGGAGCAGCTGTGTATTTTCTGTCCGCACACAATCATTATATTTTGGGATTAAAGACTAGCAGGATTTATTGTCCATTTCCGAACAGAGCCTGAACTATTCAAAAATTACAGTTGATTGTATAATTTACTTCTTTCCTTTTCTGAGATCAGTAATACTCAAATATTCAGTGGCTTAAAACTGCGGTCCCCAACCCCCGGGACTCGGACGGGTACCGGTCCGTGAGTCGTTTGGTACCGGGCCGCGAGAGTTGAGGTTCAGGTGTGAAATGTATAGTTTTCAGGGTTTTTATCGGTTTTCAGCGTTATTTTGTTATCGTTTTTATCGTTTACTCGGCTTTCCTTGGTCTTTTCAAGTGTGTTATGAATAAATCTTCTTTTTTTCGGTATGGGTACTAGTTTTATTTTGTTGTATTTATTCGCGACACCTTAAAGGCCGGTCCGTGAAAATATTGTCGTGCATAAACCGGTCCGTGGCGCAAAAAAGGTTGGGGACCGCTGGCTTAAAACATTTTGAAAATGTTTTTTAAAAACCTTTATTCTGAAAGCAATTTTCAAACCGGAAATAGTGTTGTTGGCTCGCTTTTTCACTGCGTTACCGCTAGGGAACCCCTTCGCTGACATGCGCACCTGAGGGATCGCGGTGCACGCCGCCTACGTAGTGGTGCAACTGGCGTCATTGTGGCTCCCGCCACGCGAGGGTAAGGCTGAACGGGCACGGTCTGGGCTGAGCCAAGATGTCTACCCAGTATATGTCTTTTGCAGTAGGTAAACTCCCGGGACGTGAGACTAAAATGGGTTACAAGAGTTTCAATGTCGTATGCGTCTTCGCAGGCAGTGCCGCAGTTGGTAACATGCTAAAGCCGCTGGCTGTGGCTATAGGTGTAAGTCCACTTTCAGAGGCTTATGTAACAGATAAACTATAGTCTGGGTTTGTTTAGTGCAGAGATATGACTCGCGACTGTGGGTGCGAGCTCGTTGGCGGAGGGCACATAATTGGTTTGTTTAAGCAAGGGAAAAATATATTAGCTGCACAGTAACTGCAGTTTATGTTTGTGCCTTACTTGTAGGGCTGAACGATATATCGCATTTGCGATAATATCGCGACATGATCAAGTGCAATTTTCTAACC